GGGTAAAGGCATTGATAACCCACATTCAGATTAATATGAATTCTGCATGGTTTGAGAAAAGTACCACTCTAATCTCTACCCCACTAGTTAGTAAGTGTTGACTAATGCCACAGAAGCAATAGTACTTCCAAAAGTTTTTTCTTCAAAAACACAAACTAAATGAACTGTCAAAATAGTGTCTTCAAGGCACTTCTGTGTTTAATCAAGTCAGAGGAGAATTAGGCCTCAGCAAGAGGTCAGGGCAATAGCTAGAGGAAAACACTTTGAGGTTAGGTACAAAGTAAGGCAATAATTATTTTTTCCCTCTATTTTTGTGCTCAAAGGGGCCCATTTCCCAACACTCTCTCTCTCCTGATGTTGGCCATGGAGAAGGCCACACTCCTTGGGGTCAGTAAACCTCTTGGAAAATTTGCCACTATTACTTACTAATGGTAGTGCACAATGTGCTTACCAGTCATACCAGAAAATGTCTGCCCTCTGGAGCTGCCTATCTAAGGACACATAAAATCTTGCATTGGCACAGCGGCACCATTTTAGCATTTTAATGAAGTTCTATGTCAACAGGCGAGAGCTGTCCTGTGGTGTTCACCTCCCTGACAGATGGTAACTACATTGACAGTAGCAGCTCTCCCACCGACCAAGCGCTGCTATGCTAGCGCTTAGCTCAGTGTCACTAGATCGCTCAGGGGAATGGATTATTCAGCTCCTTGAGTGATGTAGCTATCCCAGTGTAATTCTGTAGTGTGCACCTGGGCTAAGGGGGAAACAGAGGATAAGGAGATCGAAGTGGGAGGTAGGCTTATTCTCCCCAGAGGTTATTCTCCCCTAGATCTGCTGTTGAGAGTACAAGATGTTGTTAAACTGGAGTCTTTTGGACAGCTGCACGTGTATTCAAGCAAATGTCTTAGTCTTTTAGTGTGCGGGGGATGTGCCTTTTGAATTATGATCTCAGTGTAACTTGTGTACTGGAGCTGTGAAAGATTCACTGGTAACAACATTCCCTGTATTTCACTATCCATTCCTGAATGCTGACAGTAGCAGAGGTGAATCTCTGATGTTGTTAACCACAGTGGATTTCAATTTACTGAGCAAACCATAATTTACTTCAATTCCCCCCCCCCCCCAAAAAAAGGCAAACAAACCACCCCCCATGTCTTAAAACCATGTATTAATTAAGAGAAGGGCAGGGTTTTCTGGGTTGTCAAGCATAAGATAAAAGAACAGCATTATTGCTAGGAGGTGGTTAGAACAATCATTTCTCCAATCTGGAAGTTTAGTATTTTCCTCCCTTTATTATCTGCTCTTTGTAAAAAAAAAAAATGTACAAATACAAAATTGTTAGAACTACTCATAACTTAAGTAGCTAATTTAGAGTCAATTCCATTTCTAACTAGGAAAGAAAGTTTTAACAATCTTATTGTCTGGGAATTGGTTTTCAATGACAAACTGAGGCTGAAGTTTCCACTATGTGCCACCAAATTTCAGTGAGGTTGTCACTGAATAAAAGGATCAGAGTTTTACCTTTCCTCTCGCTAAGCTCTTTGTCCTGTTTCTTGCTTCAGTAGCAATCAAAAAAGGGAAATCAGCAAGAAATTCATCTGAAATCAGTGATTTTTAGTGTGTGTGTGTGTGTGGGGGGGGGGTTGTTGCAAAACTCATTGTGGCTGATCGGGAACTGAGCAAAAGCCAGTTTCAGAGAAAAGCTGATGAAGCACTCCAGTGTAGTAGTTTTTTTTTTTTTTTTTTTTTGAGGGGGGAGGTTTAGGTACCTGAAACTCAATTCATACCAACCAGCAAACTTAACCTGCAGGACAGCTTTGCCAAAACAGATGGACTTAGGTAATAAACAAGGCTACTCAATTGCCTGCTCAAAAGTGGTTGGGTTTATCATTAGCTTTTCAGCTTACTAGTTCTATGACTAAATGTTACTCTTATACTTTTGCCTACCCAGAGGCTGCATTAACAATTAGGACCCCATTATACAGGTATTGTACAAACTCATGGAAGGACACAACTCCTGTCCCTGAAGAGATTGTCACTTTAAAACAAGATGCAACAAATGGCTGTAACACACATCAGGACCAACCAGAGAGAAAGGGCAAAGAGCTTGCGAAAAACACATGATTATATTTCTGTACACAATCTGATAGGGTGTTTTTTTAAATATAAGACTATTAGTGATACTTACTAGTCATTGTAATGTTTTAGGGAAGACTTCTGCTATAAATAATCAGGTTCTCACAAAAACAGGAATTCAATATATTGGCACACATGGGTCATTTGGAAGACTGCAACCTTTAGATCCAATGCCAAGACCTCTGTCACTTGAGCTAATGATGAAACTAAGAAGATTAATAGATTGTCACCCTTTCTCTAAAGCAGCATTAGAGGGGAAGGCGACACTCTCTTCGGCAGTGGGTTTCATAGCTATTTGCTGACAAGAAACTCAGCAGACTGCTGAATTCCATTCTCTGCTCTGAAGAGTGTGGTGTAGTGTGTATGCTCTTCTGCCCATTCCCTGCAAACTTAACCAGGGCTAGTGAATCCAGGGGGCAGTGGAGGTTTGTGCCCCAGCAATGGAAATATTGTGGCAGGGGATCTGTGTTTGTGCTTCTGCTCAGCTCCACTTTCCCCTCTTACTTCTCTTCACCCTCCTACCCCAGTTCCAGTTGCTACCTCTTCATTGGCTGACTGGTTTTTTGGGTGCTAAGAGACATTTAGGTTCTGACACTCCCTCTTCTCCATCAGGCCAGGGCAAGGCATATTTCTGCAAACTGGGAGGCAGTAACTGTGTATGGGACTGGAGACAAAGGTGAGTGTGGCCCCTGGAGAGGCTGGAGTAGCCATTGCAGTGTCTAGGATCAGCCTGAGGAGCAGGCAGGAGCCAGATCAATTGCTCCCATGCTATACCTTTGACTCCCCCATTACAGGAGTATTTCTGCCACCTCTGAGTTCAACCCCTTCTGCCCTATCCCCTGACAGCTGTCACTCTTCCAGCTCTCTTCCCCAGCTGTAGCTCTTCGTCCCACTCACATTCAACTTGCCCAGGCAGTTCCAGTCTCCTCTCGGTCTTCTCATCATTGTCTAGCCCAGTGTTTCCCAATTTTATTTGGCTATGGAACCCTTTTAAACTTGAACGAATTTCGAGGAACCCCTAATAACAGTCTTATATATGGAGCTGAAAAAGTAGACCACAAATCAGTAAGGCTAATAATAACTAATGCTAAACAAGGTCATTAGATCAATGTTTAATTGCACATATTTAAAAAAAATCACATTTTTTGCTGCTGTTAGCAATGCAGAATAGCAGTGCAGGGGCAAAGGGAGGTGTCTGAAAGCTGGCCGGGGAACCAGAGAAGGAGCCGGTGTCTGCGGGCCGGCTCCTCGCGGAACCCTTACTTTCACCTCGTGGAACCCTGGGTTCTGCGGAGCACCATTTGGGAAACACTGGTCTAGCCAGTGTCTTTGCTGAGCTAGTTCTCATTCCCACCACAGCCTGGCTCCTTGCCAAATCTGCCTGCCCTCCTCTATCTCCTTCTACCCCACAGACTGCTGGCTTTGCCCCACCATTGCCTGTTTTTCCCTGGATCCTCATGTGCTCTGTTTCCCCACTCCCATTAGCCCCTTGTCCTTGTAAGTCCCACTTGCATTGCCTAGCCAATCCTGGTGTCCATCCAGGGTTCCAGTCTCCCCCACCTCCAATTCTTAGTCCCAGTTTCCTTCTCCCTCTTTGCTGGCCTCCAGTTCCAAGCTTTCCCAGCTCCCCGGGTCCTTCCCTAGTCAACTCATCTCACCTCCCTTGTCTGACTGTTATCCCTGCTGCATCTGAATCATGCAGCTTCCTCCTCAATGCTGCTGAGCACTAGCAGTGGGAGAACTGAGAGCACAAGAGAGACAATCCCCCAGCTGTTAGTTCTGGTGCCTGGTAAAGTCCTGCAGGCCTGGGGCTAGCACATGATCAGTGTGGATGGAACCACTGAGCACATATGACTGTCAAAGATTTTTTCACCTGGCCAAATGTGGGTGGATTTTCACAGAGATGACAAAAGGTGACACATTCTTAATACACCTTCCGACCCTACCAAATTCAAATTTCTGCTCCAGTGGATGGGGCACTACAACTTGATAAAGAAAAGGTTGCGGGAATTTTTAAATGTAACAATATAGTTTTGCTATAACTTTTTTTTATCAGAAATGATGGAATGGGTGAAATTTTCAAAAAAATATTCATCCTGAGTGGTTTGGGGAAAGCAAGACACTTGCTCAGTTCATTTATTATTTGAATTACAGTAGTGCACAAAGGTCCAAATCAACATCAGGCCTACAGAAGAAATGCAGCATCACCATTATCGGAATCCACTCAGCCCATTCTATCTAATCAGCTTATGCAGAGGTGAGTAGGTTCTGTGCAATAGTTTAATTATAGGCTTTCAATGTATTGCCTAGTATGGACGTGCAGCTGATGAGACTCCTGTGTTTTACTGATCTGCTGGATATTCATTAGCTAGAGTCCCCTATGTAGGTCACAGAAACAGAGCAGATGCATCTATCACATCAATAAATCAGTTAAGACACTTGATTTGTAAAGTCTAATGCTTATTCCATGGTGTGACATCACCCCGGCACCAGTGGAACAGATCTATCTGCTGTGTGAATTTTCTCCTGTAGCTTTTCTGATTGGAGTCAGAGCTCTCTAGTGCCGCCTACTGCTGGAGCTGGGGAATGGGTACTTAGCAGGTCAAAGGAATGTACCAAATGTTGGCAAGCTGCGGGGGCGGGGAAAGGCTGAGACTCTTGTTTTAAATGTTGACTGTTTTTTGTCTGTGATCTGAGACTAAACACTCATAGTGCACGTGTTTAGCCCTCTGGATAGCTGTGAAGATAAGCCTCTGTGCTGCTAATATTTGGTGTCTGTGTTTCAGAGGTGGTTTAACCCTGCTCAGAGAGGGTAAGTCACTTTGTGAGGCCTGCTGTGCAGGTAAGGTGTGATTCTAGAGAGGTGCCCACAAACAAGGCAGGTGTCTTCAGGACTGATTAGCTGGAACATAAGAATTCCAGATCGCCGCATCCACCTGCAGATCTGCAAGCACGTTACTAACAGGAGCGAATGTAGCCACACACACAGGCTCTCTGAGGAAGGAACATACTGTCCCCATTTTAGAGAAGAACCTGAACTAAGGCCACATTGTCAATGCTCTCTGGTGGGAGCAAGTACCAATCATGCAAACGCTTCTGTTGAGGTCAGTGAGACAGCTCTTGTAAGTAACTGCTCAGCAATGAGAGCAAGGGGCTTACAATGTGGCCCTGAGAAATTAATAGGCACATTTTCTAATTCGGCCCTAGTTTTGGGTGGTTACCCAGCTTCAGACACCTGGGCCCTGATTTTCTGAGGTGCTGAGCAATCATCAGTCCAGTGGGCTTCCGACTGAGCTGTGAGTGCTCAGCAATGAGAAACAGGCTCCTGATGTCTAAAGTTGGGCATTCCAAAGCCCCGGCACCCAGAACTAGACATCACTTCTGGAAAAGTGGGCCAAAGAGATCAACACGGGGTCCCACAGCAAATCGGATGGCTACTGATGGGAATAAAACCTGTCTCTCATGAGTGTAAGGCCTTTGCAAAACAGGTGCAGGCCCAAAATCTAACAATATTCCTTTTCTTGAAAACATGTGTTTCAGCTTTCCTAGCTAATTTGCTTTAAAGAAGCTAAATGTTTTGTGCAGCACGGCCAGGTGGAAAGCCATGCAGCTGGAGCCTCAGCATCACTGCCATTAACTGGTGGCTGTGTCTTTTAAGACTGTGCATTTGTTAATACAGAATGTAGTGTGTGTAACATCTTGATTTTATTTCTCAGCATATGATGTGGCAGTAAAGGATCCTGCTGATGCCTGAGTGAACACTGATTCTGAGCAGAAGCCTGACCACTGGTACCTGTTCCATCATGTACCTGTTCCGTCCCCTTGGGCGTGCTGGTATGGTGTGCCAAGAACGCTTCAACTATATTACCTCATGAAAATTGCAATGGACAGCATATGTGATACCAATGAAGCTGTAGAAACTGCAACCTATTATTTTTCTTCTAATTGTGAAATGAAGTCTTTTTATTTTAATACCATAGTCTATTTACACTAATTGCCATTAAAAGGTTGTTATGTGCCCACAAATCACCCCATTAGTGATAGCTGTCCCTGCAAATGCCGGCTTTTCAGTTGCTTCAGCTGACCCCAAGCATGCTCTATTTCCATGTACATGTTTAATTCTAAGGACATAAGAATGGCCATACTGGGTCAGACCAAAGGTCCATCTAGCCCAGTACTCTGTCTGCCAACAGTCACCAATACCAGATGCCTCAGAGGAAGGGATCATAACAGGTAATCCTCACGTGATCCCTCCACTGTCACCCGTCTCCAGAGAAACAGAGCCTAGGGACACCATTCCTACCCATCCTGGTTAATAGCCATTGATGGACCCAACTTACATGAATCTATCTAGCTCTTTTTTGAACCCTGTTAAAGTTCTAGCCTTTACTGCATCCTCTGGCAAGGAGTTCCACAGGTTGACTATGTGCTGAGTGAAGAAAAAATTCCTTTTGTTTGTTTTAAACCTGCTGCCTATTAATTTCATTTGGTGACCTCTAGTTTTTTTATTGTGGGAATAAGTAAATAATTTTTCCTTATTCACTTTTTCCATGCCAGTCATGATTTTATAGACCTCTATCATATTCCCCTTAGTCTTCTCTTTTCTAAACTGAAAAGTCCCAGTCTTTTTAATCTCTCTTCATATGGGACCTGTTCCAAACTCCTAATCATTTTTGTTGCCTTTTTCTGAACTGTTTCCAATGCCAATATTCTGGAAGGCTACATCAACTTTCTTCTGTTTCCAGTGTTCCTGGCAGCTGATATGTTACATAGTTAGGAAACTCAACCAATGTAATATGTAATTAAAGGCATTGGGCTAAACTCTAATATCAGTTACACTAGTGCAGCTCCACTGTTGTTTTTAATTGGTTTATATGAGTATAATCGGCAGGTGATTTGAACCTATTACGGTAGTGTGGACACTACTGATATGTTATGTTAAAAGTATGTTTCCTAATTATTTTTTATCCTAAATTACTATCATAGTACACAGACAAAGAAGCCAATTCCTGTCTCTAAGAGTTCATTCCTTCCCAGTCTCCATGTCTTTGGCCTGATATTCTTTTCCTAGCATTGTGGTAGTGTGGTGTCTAGCATTTGAAGGAATGCAGCTCTTCAAATGCACTTCCACAGTATGATCTAATCTTTCACCCTTGTTTCATCTTGCCTGTTTAGTTTGCTTCTTTCATTGACTCCCCAGTATATCCTGACTCATCCCCAAGCAAGTCCCAATTTCTTTCCAGCTAAAGTAATCTTTTCTCCCTTAATTATCTTGTTGAATTGTCTCCTACTCTGTCTATGACCAAGTGGCACAAGGCCTTGTAGATTACAGTAGAGGTAATTCATCCCTAACCCCACAGCTGCTTTTGGATTTCAGCACAACAGTCCCTTCTACCAAACTGGAGATTTATATTACTTCTGCTTTTAAAAACACTCTCATCCCCGTTCCAGCTGATCAGGAAAACTTTAGTCACTATGATGTTTTTCTAGTGTGGTTTCTTCACATTCTTACACCAATTTGAGAGACAGATTGGTGTTTCAACATAGTTCTCAGCCTGGGCATTCTCAGTGAGCCAATCCTTACTGAGGTTCATATTAGGACTCTCCAGAAACCCCTGCTTTCCTGCATCACCTTTTTGCAAAGATGAATGCAATGTTTCACAGACAGGCATGCTCTAGCCCTATTTATATAGGGCCCATTGAAGTCAGTGTGAGTCTTTCTTTGTCCACAGTAGGTTTTGTGTCAGGCCCACAATGAGAAACCAGAGTATAGCTGACTGGAGGGGGGAACCTTTTAATGGGGATCATGCAAGACCCTGTTTTCTCACTTCAGAACCCTAATGAGAGTGGCAAATTCTCACCGGCTGTGTCTAGACTGCATCCCTTTTCTGTAAAAGGGATGCAAATTAGACACATCGCAAGTGAAAATGAAGCGGGGATTTAAATCCCCCCCGCTTCATATGTATAAACATGGCTACCGCTTTTTTCTGGCTCGGAGCTTTGCCGGAAAAAAGCACCAGTCTAGAAGGGGATCTTTCGGAAAATAAAGCCTTTCCAAAAGATCTCTTATTCCTTATTTTAAAATTCCTCTTAAAATAAGGAATAAGGGATCTTTTGGAAAAGGCTTTATTTTCTGAAAGATCCCCGTCTAGACTGGTGCTTTTTTCTTCATTTGCAATTGCGATGTGTCTAATTTGCATCCCTTTTACAGAAAAGGGATGCAATCTAGACACAGCCGGTGAGAATTTGCCACATGTTCATTTATCTGAATGTAAGACATTAACATGGTTTGTTGTAACAAACTGCACACAACAAAAGAGATGTAAGAGAGAAAGACACGTGTCCACTATTGCAAAGTCTAGAAGTTTCTCTGGAGCATCTGTATATCAGTAATATCAGTGCAAGTCACGAAAAGAGGCTATTAAAATAACCGTTTGATTAAAAACATAACAGTGGGGAAGGAAAGCCAGAGAATGAAGATTTGTACCAAATCCTACCAGAAGCTTTGCATAGGTTTATTAGTACTTCTCTCTCTCTCTCTCTCTCTCTCTCTGACACACCTCAAGTTTGGGTGAGTGAGGAGCAATAGAATTGATTTCATAAGAAAACAGTTTAAACTTTATAAATTGTATGGGATGGTAAAATCTGGTGTCATTGTTACTACTTCTGGCAGCGCAAACAATGAGTTAGACCCTGGATAAATGATGCAGTCACTCAATCTAGAGACCTCAAACACATCCATCAAGATGATAAAGAGGGCAGGGGCCATGCTATTTGGTCTTGAGCTCCACAGGGGCAGGATGGGGAGCTCAAGTTTCTTAACAGTAAAGATGTAAGTTAAATTGCCCCTGATTCCAACATATCCTGTTGTCACAAAGAAGGATATTTTAGTTCATATGGTTGTTCTTGGAGGCCTTTTAACACCCTGGCAGGCCTCCATTTTATTTCCCCACCTTTTAAATATGGCTCTCTAGCATAATATTTATATTTTTGATGGGTACCAGAGTTTGGAACTACCAAACTATATGACATTTGTAAAAAGCTTTGTTTTCAATACTGTGGCAAAAGAAATAAAAGTGCTGATGATTGGAATCGGATTCCTACCCATGTTTCATCCTTACACTATCTATCACTAGCAGGCCTTAAGTATTACATATTCAAGCCATTTTTAAAGATAAGTTGTTAGGGTGAGACGTATCTCATGGCTTTTTTATCCCCTCCATGGTAGCAGCAGCTGTTCTTGTCAATGCCCAGCAAATTCCCACAACTCCTGAGCTCTTCCTGGGAACCTGGAAACTCGTCTCCAGTGAAAACTTTGAGGAATACATGAAAGAACTAGGTGAGAGTAGGAGGAGATATTATTTTTGAAAGGGGAATGGAAATGTCTGTCTTCAGAGAGTAAGTGCTGAGTTTGCCCTTTGCTTCAGGGTATATAATGTGATGTGTAAAATTTTCCTTCCTTGCTCTTGACTTTCTTCACTTTGTAAGTTACTGATGTTCCAGTGTTAAGGGGAATGAAGTGTCATTCTGGTAATTTACAATGAAAATCATCTCTGTGTGGTTATTTTTCCTCCCCAACTCCTTCTAGCTGTGTTTGCCAGGCAACTACTACATTACTAATGAATTCTAAATAAACTCAAGGGGCCTATCATCCCATGTCGAACAAATGGAAATGTTGGGTGCTAAAATGAATTTATTTCAGAGGCCACAATAAATTCCTGTCTTAGACATTTGTTATCTTTAGTATGTGAGTGCTGAACAAAACTGCCACAGTATACCAAAAACTGAGAGAGAGAAAATTGTGTGTGGGTGTGAGGTAGAGAGGTATTAAATTTAACTCTTTGGAGTTTTTTAAAGGTCTTTATTATAATGTTACTGGTGCAGTTTCTGGGACAAAGACTTATCAAAAAAATTGTGCCTTATACTTGGATCTAAATATGGCTTGGGTACAGTCTTATTTTTTCTTTCCAAAGTCTTGCCTTTGAGGATACTCTTCCTCAAGTACCTGGCAATCTAACCAAGAACTCTTTCTGTTTGTGAATGTTGAATTTCAAATGGTTCCTTCTTTCTCATCTTCAGGACTGGGCTTTGCCCAAAGGAAAATGGGCAATTTGGCCAAACCCAAAGTGATAATCAGCATGCACAAGGATGTGATGACCATTAAAACTGACAGTGCCTTTAAAGTGACAGAGATTTCCTTCAAACTGGGCCAAGAATTTGAGGAAATCACCGTGGATGACAGGAAAACCAAGGTGAAGACTAGAGTTTTCTTTAGGAATTGTTCCAGTCATTTGTGTGGAGAATGGGAAGTCTGTTTTTTTCTTTGACACAAGAGTCTTCCAGTTATCTGAATGGCCGTGCAAGAAGAAGTGTTCTTCAGTGAAGGGGTGTATGTAGCAAATGGGGAACTGATATTACATTATAAGAATGTTGTGGGTCTTATTAACTCTGGAGTAAAGTTCATTTAAGTTGTTATTCTGAGAAACTCAGGCTATGTTTTCATGTTTTATTTGTATTTGTCTGTGCAGAGCATTGTGACTATAGAAAATGACTCAATGACTCATGTGCAGATGTGGGATGGTAAAAAAGCCACCATGAAGAGAAAACTGGTGGATGGGAAGATGGTGTTGGTGAGTCCATTTCCACTGTGTAAACACTGAATGTTACAAAGATGCAGCCAGCAGCTGAAAATTTCAGTTTTAAGTATGGTATATATTCAAATCTCATCCCCTTCTGAGTTAACGAATGGATGAATGAGTGATTTAGAGGAAATGATTCTCCAGCATTGGGACATGAGTGTATGAAAACTAGGTAAAGGGGAAAATTTGATATAGAAACGGATGAATCTCAGTGAGCTCTTCACCTTCCTTCAGTGAATAGTCATGCAGCTGAATATTGCCCCCATGTGTTCTTGTTGTATGTTGAAGGAAATTTAAAGGCAAACTGCACTTATGTGATTCAGTGGTACTAACATATTTAAGTAAACTAGCTATTCAACATAGTGCAAATCCCCGGCTTTCCCCCCACTTCCATGGACATTCTACTTGGTTAAGAGTGCCTTAAACAGATTAAACAAAATACAGGACTATGTAGCACTTTAAAGACTAACAAGATGGTTTATTAGGTGATGAGCTTTCGTGGGCCAGACCCACTTCCTCAGATCAAATAGTGGAAGAAAATAGTCACAACCACAGATACCAAAGGATACAATTAAAAAAAAATGCATCCAGCTCCCATCCAGAACACACCACACGATCCATCGTCTATAGCCAAGCCCTTCGATACAACCGCATCTGCTCTAACCCCACTGACAGAGACCAGAAGCTTCAGGATCTCTACCAAGCATTTATAAACCTCAACTACCCACCCGGAGAAATAAAAAAGCAAATTGAAAGAGCCAGACGAATACCTAGAAACCATCTACTTCAAGACAGACCCAAGAAAACCAACAATAGAACACCACTTGTCATCACCTACAACCCCCAACTTAAACCTGTCCAACACATTATCAATAAACTACAGCCTATATTGGAACAGGATACCATACTCAAAGAGGCTCTGGGAGACAGACCCATAGTCTCCTATAGACAACCACCTAACCTCAAGATGATTCTTACCAACCACCACAGGACATACCACACTAATACCAACCCTGGTACCTTCCCTTGCAACAAACCCCGTTGCCAGCTTTGTCCACATATTCATTCTGCTGATACCATTATTGGACCTAACCAAGTGAGTTATAAGATCAAGAACACATATTCCTGCGCATCCAGAAATATAATCTATGCTATCATGTGCCGAAAGTGTCCGTCTGCTATGTACATTGGACAAACATCTCAGACACTTCGCCAAAGGATTAATGCCCACAAAACAGATATCAGACAAGATCACAAAGAGAAAACAGTTTCTTGCCACTTTAACCAGAAAGGACACTCTCTAAATGACTTAGCCACCTGCATTCTGCTACAAAGACCTTTTACATCTGCACTTGAAAGGGAATCCTCTGAACTGTCATTCATGTTAAAATTCGACACTTACCACCAGGGACTTAACAAGTCTTTGAACTTTCTCACCCATTATCAAGACAGTTTCCCCAATTATCACCTGTAATACCATTAACTCACAAACATCCCACTCTCCCTACCTCTAATATCATCAATTCACAGACACTTACCTTCCTTCCTCCCCCTTCCCACCCCCCCGCATCCTCCTTCTGTTCTGCAATGTGATTTGTCCTTTTCATATTTGTTCATTTTTTTTAATTGTATCCTTTGGTATATATGGTTGTGACTACTTTCTTCCACTATTTGATCTGAGGAAGTGGGTCTGGCCCACGAAAGCTCATCATCTAATAAACCATCTTGTTAGTCTTTAAAGTGCTACATTGTCCTGCATTTTGCTTTACCTGTTTGGGGACCCTCTGAATCACATTCTACATGTAGGAAAGAAATCTACTTTAGTATTTTTTAAATGTGCACTCTACATGCTTTGCTTTTACTATTGTCCTTTCAGATACAAACTCCTGCTTCTTTCATGAAAATGCTGCATTGATTTGAACCCTTTGATTTGTTTTTCTGGAGTTATGATTATATTCACCCTAAATAATTTGTTACTTGCATTTAAGATCAGGTGCATGTTTAGTTTATCTAACAGTAAACAGCAGTTTCATTCAATAACTTTTTGAAATAATGGTATTTACTGGGTGAAATCAACTAACTTTTATGTACCCATCTTAAAATCTTTCCTTTAATCAAAATTTGGAATATAAACTCTAGGTTCAGTCTCCCAAACTAACTTTGTATGTCTCTCCTGTATTACTTAACACAAAATGCAGTCTTATTCCTATTAAAGTCAATAATTTTACCATTGCCTTTAAGCACTAAAGCTTTAATTGCTTTTCCTAAATTTTGCTATAATAAATATTGAAATTGCAAATAACACCTGTTTTCCCCTTAGGAATACACTCTGAATGATGTCACCTGTACTAGGGTCTACGAGCGAGTGGGATGAACTCCATCTTCATGGAGGATTGTATTGTTGCATATCCATTTGATTCAGTGATAGTTTTAGTCTTATTAAACAGTAGAATATTATCGAACTTCATGGCTATTATAGCAAATGTGAACACTGATGAATAAAATATTTCATACTCAATGTTTGAATAGTTTGCAGCCAGAACCTGCCAAGGTATGGCTCTTTGAGGGGGAGCAGGAGGTTAGTCTTAGTTCTCTGGGCACATGGAATCATTGCATACACAAACCACTGTGTCTCTAGAAGGCACTCATGCAGCATATAAGGGAGCTGAACATCAGGCTGTTAGCAGGGGCTAAGCGATCTGATTGGTCACACAAATAGTAACTCACAATGTACCTATTTTTACTGGTTCAACAATTGAGTCAGTGACTGATTGATAAGCAAATCGAAGATACAGGGCCAACTTCTCTGACCTGGCAAAGCTGTCCTTGGGAAAGGATGCTTGCAACCTACAGCCTTCATTGTTCGTGTGTTTGCAAAGGGCAGCTGCTGGTTTGGTACAGAAGGGCACAGAGATACGTAGTCAGATCAGGTCCCCACCCCACACACAGCCAGCAGGCTTACAAACTGCAGCCCTCAGTTACATATGCCTGAAAAAAGGGGGAGGGGAGGACAGTGGTGCCAGCAATTTAAAATTAGGTATGGGAAACCAAGGGAAAATCATTTGCCTTGTTTTTGAGGAACAGCAGAGCACTCTAACGAGCAGCACAAATGCCCATGAAATACATTTATAATAGGAGTTACCTTTCACTCAGCAGCTTCAGAGAGGTAGCAGAGTTAGTCTATAACTAGAAAAACAACAAATAGTTGAGTAGCACCTTAAAGACAAACAAAACATGTAGATGGTATCATGAGCTTTCATGGGCACAACCCACTGCTTCCGATAACCAGAGTATTGGGAAGGAGAAAGAGAAAATAGTGAATTAGATTGTCAAGTATCAGAGGGGTAGCCGTGTTAGTCTGATTCTGCAAAAGCGGCAAGGAGTCCTGTGGCACCTTATAGATTAACTGAAGTGTTGGAGCATAAGCTTTCGTGGGCAAAGACCCACTTCGTCAGATGCATGTAGTGGAAATTTCCAGAGGCAGGTATAAATATGCAGGCCAGAATCGAGGTGGATCCAATCAGGGAGGATGAGGCCCACTTCTAGTAGCTGATCTGGAGGTGTGAATTCCAAGAGAGGCTGCTTTTGTAGTTAGCGAGCCATTCACAGTCTTTGTTTAATCCTGAGTTGATTGTGTCAAACTTGAAGATGAACTGTAGCTCAGCAGTTTCTCTTTGAAGTCTGGTCCTGAAGTTTTTTTGCTGCAGGATGGCTACCTTTAGATCTGCAATTGTGTGTCCAGGGAGATTGAAGTGTTCCCCTACAGGTTTTTGTATGTTGCCATTCCTAATATCTGATTTGTGTCCATTGAAATTTCCACTCCATGCATCTGACGAAGTGGGTCTTTGCCCACGAAAGCTTATGCTCCAACACTTCAGTTAGTCTATAAGGTGCCACAGCACTCCTCGTCACTTTCGGTGAATTAGATTGTTAAAGTTACAAGAGGCTGATAAGAACAGTTTGCACTCTGTAAGTGCCCATTGTTAGGTTGGAGGGTAAAGTCATTAGGATGTAGAAGGTAGTGTGCAAGCCAGCCAATATCTTTATTCATTCCTTTCTGATAGGAATCAAGCTTGTAAATGAAGTAATAGTGTGAGCTACTCACATGCTGCAGAATTCTGTCATTCAATAACTACACAAGACAAGGATCATTGAAGAGATACGGCAGCAGTTTGAAGGCACTATATTAGACAGAAAGACTTCTTATGCCATTATGTAAAATTGTTAGTACCCTCATCTTTAGCATTGTGTCTGTCTCTCCTGAGATTAATCATATATATAATAGCCCAATGTCTGTGACTCTGTAACGCTGAAACACTGGCTGTTCCCTCTGGGCGGCGCTGTTGCCTCCTGCCGGGGTGCTCGGCTGACTTCTGCACCGCTCAACCAGGCCACCGCGTGGCAGCAAGCAGCACAAGCTGCTGTTTGGGGTCCGCACTCCCCATGCAGCACGGGGCCCAAACAGCTGCTTGCTCCCACACGGCAGCCCGGCTGAGCGGCACAGAAGTCAGCCGAGCACCACGGCGGGAGGGAAAGGGGGTGGGGCAGTGATGTACACACCCATGGGGTGGGGCCTGGATGAGTGTGCATCCCCACTGGAGACAGAGGAGAGCGGAGAGAGAGTGAGAGGCAGGAAGGGGAGAAGAAAACGAGAGGCAGAAGGTGGAGGAGAGCTGGGGAGGGGGAAGCAGGAGGAGGAGGAGAGAGAAAGAGACACAGAGCAAGAGACTGGAGGCTCAGGAGAGAAGACCGATGTGGAGGAGAGACCTGAAAATCCCATCTTATCACAGGCTAATTGGCTAGTACAAGTAATAAAAGAGGTCCAGAAAGAGAGGAAGATAGTGATTTAATAGTATAGAACAATGGTGTGCAACTTTTTTTGATCTGCGCTCCCCCTGCCGTCGGGGCTGCTAACTATCTGGGCCCAGCCCCTGGCCGGATTTAAGCACCGTGAGCCCCCTGTCCCCTAGGGAAGACATCCATGACCCCCTTGGGAGGTTGCAACCCATGGGTTGCGCACCACTGGTATAGAAAATTGGTCCATTTCCAAGACCTCCATGGGAAGCTCTGTGACTGTTGGACTATATTCCTTTTCCCACTTGGCCAGAGTTCCAGTGGGCCGTTCTAGGCCTCTAAAGGAAAACTCCCCTATTCCAAGAAGAATGCTAAGAAGTTAATGTCCTATGTACCATATGCCTTTGACCCCATCATGAATGCACTTTTGGATCTCTCCCTCAATTAGTTAACGTCCATTTCTTTTTGGCTAACCCTCCAGAATAGGGAGGAGCCAATCTTGTACTTATGGTTTGGCCTTTTTGGAGTAAACCCGTTCATAAGTAAAGCAAGTAGACCAGTTTGGGTATATCTACACTGGGGGGCTAAGATTGAGTTAAGGTGCACAACTTTAGTTATGTTCATTGCATAGCTGAAGTCAAAGTAGCTCAATTTGGCTTTTGGTGTTGTCTACCCAAAGGAAGAACACTGTTCCTTCAACTTTCCTTACTCCTCATGGAAGGAGGGGTTACAGAACAAACAGGAAGAATTAGAAGCCCTGGCCCAGTCAAAGAACTATGATTTGATTGGAATAACAGACTTGGTGGGATGACTTACATGACTAGAGCACTGTCATGGAAGGATATAAACGGTTCAGGAAGAACAGGTAGGGGAGAAAAGGAGGAGCAGCAGCATTGCATGTAAGAGCAATATGATTGCTCAGAGCTCTTGTATATAGAGGGAGAAAAGCCTGTTGAGAGTCTATGAGTTAAGTTTAGAGGTGGAAGGAACAGGGATGATGTTGTGGTTGGTGTCTGCTATAGACCACTGGATCAGGTAGATGAGGTAGACAAGGCTTTCTTCAGACAACTGAGAGAAGCTTACAGATCACATGCCCTGGTTCTCATGGGGGACTTTACACACGCTGGCATCTGTTAGGAGACCAATACAGCAGTACACAGACAATTCAGAAAGTTTTTGGAGAAAGTTGTGGATAACTTCTTGGTACAAGTGCTGAAGGAACCAACCAGGGGCCATGCGCAGCCTGATGTTGCTGCGCACAGAGAGGAATTAGTAGGGGAAGGAGAGGTGGATCAATCTGAGAAGCAGTGATCCTGAGATCGTAGATTTCAGGATCCTGACCAAAGGAAGAAAGGAGAGTAGCAAAATACACATCCTGGACTTCAGAAAAGCAAACTTTGACTCCCTCAGAGAATTGATGGGCAGGATTCCCTGGGATGCTTACATGAAGGGAAAAGGAGTGAAGGAGAGCTGGCAGTATTTTAAAAAAGCCTTATTGAAGTTACAGGAAGAAACCATCTTGATGCATATTAAAAAAAGCAAATATGGTAGATGACCAGATTGGCTTACCAGGGACATCCTTGGTGAACACACACAAAAAGGAAGCTTACAAGAAGGGGAAACTTGGAGAGATGACTGGGGAGTATAAATATATTGCTCAAGAATGTAGGGGAGTTATCAAGAATGCAAAAGAGCAATTGAAATTGCAGCTAGCAAGGTATGTGAAGGGTAAGAAGAAAGGTTTCTACAGGCATGTTAGCAATTAGAGGGTGATCAGAGGTTGTGGGGCTCTTACTGGATGAGGGAGGTAACCTAGTGACAGAGGATGTGGGAAAAGCTGAAGTACTCAATGCTTTCTTTGCCTCTGTCTTCACAAACAAGGTCAGCTCCCAGACAAATGCACTAGGCAACACAGTATAGGAAAGAGGTGGACAGCCCTTCGTGGGGAAAGAATAAGTTAGGAACTATTTAGAAAAGTTAAACATACACAAATCCATGGGCCTGATTTAATGCATTTGAGAGTGCTGAGGGATTTGGCAAATATCTTTGCAGAGCTTTTGACCATTATCTTTGAAAACTCATGGGGTATGTCTACACTACCACCCTAGTTCGAAGTAGGGTGGCTAATGTAGGCATTTGGAGTTGCAAATGAAGCCCGGGATTTACATATCCTGGGCTTCATTTGCATCTTGCCAGGCGCCGCCATTTTTAAATCCCCCTTGGTGCGGACTCCGTGCCCGCAGCACGGAGTAGGTAGTTCGAATTAGGCTCTCTAATTCGAACTACCATTACTCCTCATGGAATGAATGCCTACATTAGCCACCCTAGTTTGAACTAGGGTGGCAGTGTAGACGTACCCATGGAGACAGAGAGATCCCAGATGATTGGGAAAAAGGCAAATATAGTGCCCATCTTTAAAAAAAAGGGAAGAAGGACAATCCAGGGAACTACAGCCCTGTCAGCCTTACCTCAAACCCTGGAAAAATCATGGAGGGGATCCTCAAGGAATCCATTTTGAAGCACATGGAAGAGAGAAAAAAAGCAATCAGGAATAGTCAATAGGGATTCACTAAGGGCAAGTCATGCCTGACCAATCTAAGCTTCTATGAGGCGATAACTGGCTCTGTGGATATGATAGCCCTTGACTTCAACAAAGCTTTTGATACAGTCTCCCACAATATTCTTAACAAGAAGAGGGAATGTGGATTGGATAAATGGACTGTAAGATGGATAGAAAGCTGGCTAGACTGTCTGGCCTAATGGGTAGTGATCAACAGCTCGATATCAGGTTGGCAGTTGGTTGCTAGCAGAGTGCTCCAAGGATTGAGTCTAGGACCAGTTTTGTTTGACATCTTTATTAATGACCAGCAAGTTTGCAAATGACACTAAGCTATGGAGGAAGGTAGCTACTCTGGAGGGCAGGGATAGGGTCCAGAGTGACCTAAACAGATCTGATGAGGCTCAACAAGGACAAATGCAGAGTCCTGCACTTGGGACAGAAGAATCCCAAGCATTGTTACAGGCTGGTGACCTAATGGCTAAGTAACAGTTCTGCAGGAAAGGAGCTGGGGATTACAGTGGCTGAGAAGCTGTATATGAGTCCGTGTGCCCTTGTAGTCAAGAAGGCCAATAGCATATTAGATTGCATTAGGAGGAGCATTTGCCAGCAGATCTAGAAAAACAATTATTCCCCTTTATTGGGCTCTGGTGAGGCCACATCTGGAGTATTGTGTACAGTTCTGGGCCCCCTCAGAAAGTATGTGGGCACATTGGAGAAGGTCCAGCAGAGGGCAACCAAAATTATTAGGGGACTGGAGCACATGATGCATGAGGAGAGATTGAGGGATTTGGGTTTGTTTAGCCTGCAACAACAAGTGAGGGGGGAATTTGGTAGCAGCCTTCAACTTTCTGAAGGAAGTTTACAAAGAGGATGGAGAGAGGCTGTTCTCAGTAATGACAGAACAAGTCAGAGTGGGGGAGATCTAGGTTGGATATTAGGAAATGTATTTCACTAGGAGGGTCGTATAGAAGTACTGGAACAGGTTACCAAGGGAGGAGGTGGAAATCTCCATCTCTAGAGGTGTTTAAGTCTCAGCTTGACAAAGGCCTAGCTGGGTTTATTTAATTGGAATTGGTCCTGCCTTGGGCAGGGGGCTAGACTTGATGGCCTTGTGAGGTCTCTTCCAGCGCTATGATTCTAAGTCAGTTCAAACTGATTCTAACGGGCTCATTGTGTAGATACATGCTCTTATTGCAAAAGAGCACAAGTTATTTTGAAACAAGTGTGCAGTGTAGCCATAACCTCCAGGTTTATCCTCCCTAGCTGGCCTGTACCAGCTGACAGGTTAGGAGTAAGGGATGTTTAGGCTTGGGCTACCTGGGCTCCAGGCCAATGCAAGTTGAAAGCTGCCAAGGTTCAGGCCTCAGCAGCCTGATTGCTAGGTAGACATCACTCCAAGGCATCCAGCATCACCACCACCCAAACACTTTAGGTCATTAGTTTGGAAATATTTTATTCACTGCCACAGTTCAAACAAGTTGCAAGTAAGGTGAAGTATGGTACATTATGGGCACAAAACCGTTCATAGCTTTAACAAAAGACAATAAGTGACCTTTATCTTGTGGAACTGAGCTAGTTCCCAGCAGCAAGTTGTAGTCAACTGCAGAAAGTTTCTTCATGCTCTCTCGTAGACTCTAGTGCAGACGACATACTTCATCATACATTCCTAGAAGGTTCAAGAGAAGTCCACTGAAATTACAAGAGATTTCTATTGTCTTGCTCTAAAGGAAGTGGTTCTGCAAGTGCAATATGAAGGCAAGTGCAAAATGGACTGCAGTCTAATATAATTCCATGCCAAGTGTGGTAGTTTAGTTATCCACTGGTCTCATACCTTTTAGTTTACTGGTCTGAGCAGTGCTTAGAAGTGGCTACAACAGTTTCCATTGCTGTTCAAAGATACTAGTGAATACCCCTCATTTTATTATCAAAGCACTGAAACTCATATTTTGGATCATATGGACAAGCATGGGGATTTGGCTATCTGTAAAGATCAGTGTTCACTGATCAGACAGCAAGAATAGTCTCACTTACCACAATCATCTTCCCATCTACCACCTCTCTTTTTATTGTGGTCTCTTTGTTATCCCATTTCTGCACATGAATCATTGAGCCATTGTCCAAGGTTACAACACTCTGGAAAGACACAGGACAGCAAGCTGAAAGATTTACTCTTCCAGAGGAAGAGCAAGAGGGCAACTTAACTCCCAAGCACCATATCATGTTCAGCTGTGTCCTAATGAAAATTCCAGAGACATGGTACAGCCCTATCTGAAAACCATCAGATGGTCGTGCTTTCAAGTAGATTATCCTATCCCCTCCTTCAGCCCAAAGAGAAAGAAAAGCCACACATCACAAGCAGATCAGAAACACCAAGCATTGCCCCACTCTACTTACCTTAGTTTTCCTATTATCTGTTGTGGTTTCCTCAAACTCTTGGGCCAGCTTGAAGGAGATCTCTGCATTTTTAATGGGGCTCTCTGTTTTGATGGTTATTAAATCCTCCTCGGCACTTATGGTCACAGAAGTCTTTGCCAGGCTTCCCAGTTTCCTCATGGCAAAACCGACCCCTGAAGACAACATACAAGATACTATCTAAGCTTTTACTCTGATCAAAAAACAGAACTTCTGACTTTCCTTCTATCTGGCAAGAAGGAGAACACATAGAAGATGGCTTGGGAATAGACATTGCAATGATTAGGACAACATGCACAGAAATGCACCCTGTTTCTCCCTCCCCCATACACAAATATAGGTGTGCATTCTTCTCTCCCCTCCCCCCACACCCCTCATGTAGTCAGCAGGCTTAAAGACGCTTTAGCTGATCCTCTGAGATAAATTTTCATTTTGATAAAACATTTCCAGGCACCTTTATTAAAGATTGAGGATATTTTGGGGATTCAGAGGTTCCCTATCACCCATGTCAAATCAGACATGGAAGGAAAAGGCAGAGACAGAATCAGGGAGGCACACGTGATGTAGTGCTGGTAGCTATGCTGGGTAGTGGGCTGTGGGCGACTTCCACTGGCAGCTGTTTGTAGCACAGCTCAGCAGGACAGGGGATGAGTCACTAGGCAAAGGTCTCAACCTGTCTGACCAGTTGCCTCCCAGGGGCAGAGACAAAGAGAGGAGGGCAGGGTCTGGTCCCTAGCTGGGGGGCAGGGCTGGAGGAGAGTTTTGAGTTTGTCTGGAATCATGGAGGAAGTAGTCTAAGCAAGGGGGCCTGGGATTTAGGGGCCCAGTTCCCCCCCATCTCAAGGGGGGCTGAGGCATCCTAGGCTTGCCCTGTAACCAGATTAAATCTATGCTGTTTTGTATCCTGGAGAAGAAATAAAACCCTTCTATTCTACCAGCTGGTGGAGTCTGTTCGTGCCACTATGGGGGTGCAGGAGGCAGGGGATCCCCAAGGTGATGTCACAACACAGTTATGGGATGCAGTGTTCCCTAGTAGGTCTAGCTCTAGGTCAGGACTCGAGACCTCAGTTCTTTTCTCAGCTTTTCCACTGGCCTGCTGAGTGACCTTCAGCAAGTCACTTAGCCCCATTTTAAAGATAGTGAAAGAGGTTAATGGCCCTGCTGTCCTTCGTAAAGGATTTAAAGACATGCCAGTGAATGTTACTATACAAGATCTCAGTGTTCGTTATAATAAAACAATAATTGGGCTACAAGTCTGATTTAATAGCAGGATTATGCAAGCCAGTTTGGGTTTTTGCCTCTTCTCACCTCACATTTAGAAGTGTATGCTTTATTTGGGACTCCCCAAATAAACCACTATATAAGTTAGCTCAGACACCTGTGTAATTGATCACCTGTTTAGCTTTGACATACCAGGTAATAGCTTTTACTCTAGAGTAACTCAGATCCTTCAAGAAGCCTTCCTAATTTGAAGGGTGGCTATATGAAATCAGTACCTTTTTACTTGATAGAAAGGCCACCACAGTATTTAGCCATAGCTGCATCCATTAGGGACAAAAAGAAGCTGTTACTTCTTTTGACTCCTGTTCACCCAATAGAAGCATAACAGACACTAGACAGGGAACTAGATTTCATGCAGGCCTCTTTACACAGTCCAACCAATTACACTACTACAAGCCCACTCAATGCAATAGGCTTACACAGCAGCTAGAAAAAGCATAATATGATCCATTACACTGCTGTGGTTGTAAAAAATAAAATAGTCTATTTGCTCTGAGAGCCTAAATTTGTGTTTAATATAAAGGAATTCTCTTAAATGTGGAGATATTGAAATACAGTGAGGAAACTCCTACGATACCTATTTTTCCCCTCTCTCCCACCCCCAGCAGGGCATTTTAAGGCTATAAATAACATCATTATTTTCAAGCTATTGATGGGAGTTAAATAACTATGTTATATACCTCAGTACTCTATCAGATCCCTAAATGGAATTTAAAAAAACCCAGTTGATTATGTTCCTTAAATATACTCATGAGATGCCTTGCATATAATATGTTCCAGGAAATGCATGTCAAGAATTAGTAATTCTACTGACAACAGTTAACTAGTCCCTCACGAACATTGTTATAAGGTTGTTGTGGTTTTTTTTTTAAAGTTGCAAAGGTAAACCCCAGGCCCATTACAGTTTACATGAAGAGGGGAAAAAAAAGAAAAAAAAATAAGATTCTTCATTTAAAAAAAAATGTATTGCTCACCTAGTTCTTTCATGTAGTCTTCAAATTTTTCACTAGAGACAAGTTTCCAAGTTCCTAAGAATTGATCACACATTCTGTAAGGATCCTCAGGAGACACCCAAACTTTCAGTAAGAAACCAACAAGCAATACAACATAAAGCCACCAACAGCTTGTTTTTAAAGATTTCCTGGACAGGTGATACTTGGGAATGGCCAATGGGAGAAAATTAAGGCAGACCCTAGTAATTACCAGTACTTCATGTGTATTGTTTCTTATAATAAAGTTAAATTCAAGATGCTTACAATAAAAACCACAAGGGAACAAAAGTTGCACAAACTTGGGCCCTACTTATGTAGATACATCTGTATGTGCTTAAGTATTCCCTTTGGCTTCAGTGTTTCTAAAGTTAAACACATATTTGAAGGATAATGATCATGGCTTTCACCTGACACTATAGGACATGGGTTCCCAAACTGGGGTGTGTGTGTGAAGAAATTCGGGGGGGGGGGGTGCAAGGTGCCCCAGGCACCTCTGCCCCCTTCCCTTCCCCTCCCCCCCAATCAAACCCCTCGCGCAAGAACGATCCTGGTCCATCCAGTAAAAAAAGTTCAGAAAATACCATGTGAAATGTATGTTGT